TTATTTTATGAACCTATATCCAATATATATATATATATAATGCATTTCATATTTCTTCTTATATTTTTTGGCAGTTTTTGTCTTTTTGGGACAGATACACTACAAAAAATGATGTCGTCTTGTTTTCCTGTACAAATATTTAAACATTTTCAAATCAAGACACGTTTACTGGAGAAGCAAAATCACATTAATAAACTACGTCTTGTTTTTGCAAAAAAAAAAAGTCTCAAAATGAAGCGAGTTTTTGCTTAAAATAAGAACAAATGCGAAAAATTATTCCCCTTTGAATTGCATTTATCTTTCTGACTCCATTGGCAGATACTATAAGACACATAATTTTACTGCATTTTTCAGAAAATGACTTAATATCTTAATAAGACTTAATAAGTCATTGTGCGTCTCCAGTAAATGTGTCTCGATTTAAGAATGTTTAGAGATTTGTACGGGAAAACAAGACAGAAATACTAAGGAAGGGCATGATATTTTTGTAGTGTATTGACAAAAACTGCCCACAAATATATTGATGATTTTAAAACATATATTGGATATAGGTTCCTACAATTACATCATATCTTTTGAGAAGTACACATTTACACTCTAATTGTTTTTTGTTTTTTTTGATGCAATACTTCACTAAAATATGAAGTGACATAAGGTTTTGTATATGAAATGTTTAGATATTTGTACTGGAGAACAAGACAGGAGACAGAAACACTAAGTAATTGCATCGCATGTCATTTTTCGTCCATCGTGTGCTGTATTTCAGAGAGGACTGGATGAAGTCTCACCGGCGCGCAGAGCGTAGCGTCCCGTCATGAAGGCGGTTCTGCTGGGAGTGCAGAGCGGAGCGGCGGCGAGATGCTGGCTCAGTTTCACTCCGTCTGCCGCCAGACGATCCACGTTTGGTGTGCTTCAGACACAGAGACATTTACTGATTAATCCAGCGGCTGAGCCTGTTTCAGACCCGTGTGATGCCGTTTATCTAAGATGATTTGAAGAATCGTCTTTATATTCTACCGCTCCATCAGAATAAAGCACAGGAGTTACGTTTTCATAGTGTTCCTGAAGCTCATATGCTTGCAACACCTAGGTCAAGGGTTCGATTCCCAGGGAATGCATGAACTGATCAAATGCACAGCATGAATGCAATGCAAGTTGCTTCGGTTAAAAGCATAAATGCAAATGTCTTTCTGTCCTTTTTGGAGTTTCTCACACATGGTCACTATGAGAGCAGAGATTTGTTTAATAATCAATCTGACCCTTTTTAAAGCAATATTTACATTGGGGTTTTTTTTCATAACAGGACTGATAAATGACAGATCAGCACTACTGTGTTTACAGGTAAAGTAAATAACTTGTTTTGCATATTGTTTGCACAATTATTCCATTTTTACAGCAATTTATTCTATTGTATTTTATTAGTGTTATAATCAAAATATGCGTAATGCATATAAAATACACCATTTTTTAATTGGTCATAATCGAATTACTTTGCATTTATTATTTTGTCAAAAAGCAACAAAAAAAACTATTTAATAACTTACTTAACTTAAAAATACTCTGCATCCATAAAAAACTACACATGCTGTTTTCTAGAAAAGAGTTGCATGAAAAGCAACACGTTGCATTTTATTAGTATGATTAGTAAAATATGCATAATGCATATTACTTAATTTTTATAATTAATTATTTTGCAGTTATTATTTTGTCAAAAAGCAACAATAAAACTATACTTAATAGCCAGTTTTCCTTAAAGATAATTGGGCACTTGCATAAAAAAAACAAAAAATAATAATATTTGTAACAACATGGCGGAGAGCAGGGTGAGTAAAGTTTGTCATTTTGTGATGAAAAATTCGTTCAAAAGTTAAATGTTTATGTTATAAATACTGTTTATGTGCATGCCTTTCACATTTTATTTCTGAAGCTTTGAATTGTTGTCATCCTTTACCATTTTCGGGAATTTTCTGTGGACAGTTTGATTATGTTTTAGGTTGTTTGTTGTAAATGGGCTTTGCGATAAAGCCACTTTATGGTTTGAATTTATTACTTTTTGATATATTTAATGCTTTCTTATAATTCTATTAGTTTCATTGTTTGTTGGTTTATTTTATGCTATTCTAGAGCATTGTAAGTTTGTTATTGACTTTTTCAAATAACAGAGAACAGGTACGTCTTATTAAAGTTGCTTTTCTGAAATGGCTCAAGACATAATTGTGTAACTTGTGCTCACTTGTGCAATGGTATGTCATTGTAGGGAATGGATGTGTGGACAGCTGACGCATATGTTGTGGCTACCTGGTTACCTCCAAATAATTTGGACCCATCACTGTCTTTTCCAGTAAGGCCATAAAGTTACATCACATTCATAATACTGAAAATGTCATTTAAATCTGACTTAAATAAACCTTTTTATTAAAAAAATGTATTTTAAAATTAACTATAGGATCACATTGCATTCAAAGATGCTATTGTCTTTCCTGCTTGGAAGCCAGGACACTGGATGTTGTGTGTAAGTTATATGGAATTTGGTTACTAAATATATAATTGCATCTGTAAATTGCCTTCATTTGTCTTGTCACAATTCAAAATTACCATTGCACTATTGCAACCTACTAACACACTGTTTTCCAGGTAATGAAGCCAAAAGATAGACAAATCTACTTCTTAGATTCAACCAATCCCTATGGGTTGGGTGATGAGTGCTATGTGCACATTTTCAGGTTGCTTAAATGTGAAAATGTTCATGGTTCGCTGTTCATAAGGTTTGCCTTCAAATGTTCAAAATGTTGGCTTAATGGTTATTTGGATGTTTGCATGATGTTCTGAATTTGCATGTGTGTGACAATTGTTTTATTTTCTGAAAGGCCCAGTTACTGGGGGCTACTGTTTTTGCAGATTTTCTTTGTATTCATACTCTTTCATATGAACTTTGTTGTTATTATTTGTGTATTTTTGTTTCAGTAAGATGACAGCTAAAATTGCACCTGGCACATGGATGCTACTAAAAAACAAGGTTAATTTTGTAATTGGGACATATGTCAATCTCTTACACACAGCCTAAATATTTTTCTTTTTCATTTTTTTTTTAAGGATGTCCCCCAACAGATTGGCTATGTGGACTGTGGAGTCTTCATGTTGATGGTAAGGCAAATCATGTTTTGCTATAAATAAACTAATGCTTGCCTTCCAATTTAATGTATTGACAGTATCAGTTTGTTTCTTCTGGGATCCCTAAACAATGGCATTGCTATCTTTCATCTTTCAAACTCCTTATGCCCCATTTTAATTATGATTTGACTTTTTCTTAAATTTTGCTGGGTTTTTTTAGTATGCTCTACACGTTATATCTCATCATAACCTACAGTCAAAAAAAATGCTACGGTTTACTAGACTGATCAAAATGAATATCAATTTAAAAAATAAAATAGTTTTTTTAATATAATTTTTTTGTATTTTGTGTATTATTAAATATTATAAATCCTATCAAAATTCTTGGGATAGCTCATATTACATCTAACAAAAGAAAATTGCACTACAAAACTGCGACCGTTAACCATATATGGTTCGCCTCACTTCCGGCCTGGATTGTGTGTCCTGAAACGTGTGGGGCTGCGGGTCTGCAGCTGGATACATCTCGATTTACCTGATGGTGTCGTTTCCATAGCAACCGATGTCTCCAATGCCCAGATCATCCACCATCATCAGGACGAAGTTGGGTCTGGAATCATGATCTGCACTGGTCACATATGAACTGGACTGGAGGAGAACCAGCAAACCAGCGAAGAACCTGCAAAAGCACAGCAGAGCTGGATTAGTTTTGGTCGGGGTAACCCTAACCAATCAGAAAGACCTTTCGCCACGCCCCCTCATCTTTCGCCACGCCCCCGAACCGTTCGCCACGCCCACCGTTCCAGCCTGCATTAAACTTGTTAGTTTCTCAAACTGCTGTCATGTGAATATCTGTTATGAAATCTGCATACACCGACCTCGAGCTCCTGTTTTCCACCAGCATGCTCCTCTAAAGCGCAAGTGAGATGATAAACACGTCCAGATGTGAAGAAGCAGGAAAACACGGAAGTAAGCCCAGATTCCACGAGATCAGCTGGTTTAGTGCTGCAGAAGCCCGGCGATCAGCTCAAAGTCTCTTTTTGGGGCTGTTTTATGTGCTTACCTTTCCCTAAAGAATCCGTTTTCCCCTGATTCCCGACAGGATTCCCACTCACTGTCCTCTGCTGGCAGGATAATGTCCACATTCCTACTGTACCTGCGAGCGCGCTTACCGTAAACACTCTCATACAGACGCATACGTGCAGTGATCATATGCACAAATATTTAATGAATATTGCTCTTGAACATTGAATAATAATAATAATTATTATTATTATTATACCGCAATGTGAAATATTGTTATTATTAGAAGTAATAACAACAGTAATAATAATAATAATTTACATTATATATATTTAGATTGATTTGTATTAATTACCGAAGCAAACCAGCTCACTCTATGTGTGCGTTATTGTCTAATTTGAAGAGAATCAACGCATTGGTCTGTATGTTTGAATGTTTCGTTGTTTTATTTC